TAACGAAGACCAACTTGTGTCTCATTACTGTGGAGTGAAGTATTGCCGCATGTACAAAAAACGCTGATTTTTCTTTTAACCCCTCTTACAATATATGCTTATAATTTATACTTTTAGTATATTTACTCCAGAGTTATGGATTATGACCGTGTGGACACTCTCCTAAATTATTCATGCAACAAATTATTTATGATTTTGTTGGTTACAAGATCTTAAATAATATATTCACCATACAACAAAATTGACACATAACTACCATCAATATTACACAGAGAATGACCCAGTATGTAGACCCAACCAGTAGTGACTGGTGTAGGTAATTTTTGAAATCAGTGTGTTGGGCCAGCTTCTTCTAGAGAAGCTTTCCTCATCTTTACAATTATAATAATAATTTTAAACACTATACTTAATTATACAAATAGAGGAGATTTTGCACATGTTTAATCACCATAAATGCTTTTTATTTTCTTTTAACTCAAAGGATTACAACTCATCAATTATCCCAAAAACACATTTGTGTAAAGGCACTTTCAAGGTCCTATGGAACATCATCTATTAAACAAAGGATCAAGTGGTGTTGAAGAAATAAATCATGACTTGCCAGAAGTTACAAAACAACATGTTGTTCACATATCTTTAACTTGCAACAACAACAGCTTGTATTGACAAGTTGCTGAAGGATAAAACTGTTTCTTGTCAACAAATAATTTTTGTTAGCTAAGTCAAAGGATCTTTTAGACAGTATCCTTAAAGCTTGGACAAATAAAAAAAATTCATAAGCTTTACTTGATACAAAACTTTATATACATATAATACGTACCATTTGTTTGGCACCAGCAAAGTAACACAACAGATATTATATTCATGAAAGTAATGTTGTATTCTCACTTCACCAGAATCTCAAGTATTACATAGTTCTGTAGTCAATGTTATTCATGGCAGACACAAATTCCATCTGATATTTTGAAGCCTTTATGAGGAGCAAGTAGTTAAGCAAAGCAGTAAAATATAAGTGAATTATGATAAAACAGAAATGCTTCATATCTTCAAGAACTTAGCTGAATCTAAAACTTTTCTTATTTCTATCAAATGTTTACACCCACCTTACTCTTATTTACGTACATTGTGCAAGATTGCATCTCGTTTTTCAAACCACAAATGAAAATATAAGAAAATCAAAGCAAATATAATAATAACATATGGATATTGAATATGCACCAAATATTTTAATACTTTAACATTTGATTATGTTTATTTTTCTGTTCGGTTAAAATATAGAGAGATTTACTTAAAGAAATTAGACAGTGCACCTGAAAATAATTTATATCAATATGATATTGATTTTAGTAGCTTAAAGCTGCTATCATCTTAAGCATACTTGTTAAGGTGCAATAAAACCAAGCTGTCAAGTGCAGTACATTAAGAGTAACAAGAAACATTAGTCTCAACAACAGAAACGGTTATTTATTGGCTCTTAGCTGCCAGCTGCGCAGCATGGCCAAGAAAGTTGTATAGCAGTTTATGCCACAGTTTTGGGTTATCCAGGTAAGCTGGGTGCCGTCCTTCAGGAATCTCTGCTGCTTGGCTTCTTGGCAACAAGCACAACAATGCCGAGTGCTTCCCACGATCATACTCTCCAAACACCACTAGAGTTGGAGTCTGGAAATTGAATTATATTAAACTGTAATTTCTTCTACTACAAACTCAGAAAATTAAAAATGGCTTTAAATCTTGAATGTAGCTATTTCAAAAGTCCTTATAGGTCTAATAAACAGAAAGTCGAATCTCTGCTGTAACTTCCTTAGGAAGTCTACAAACATGGAATGCAAATAACTTTCCTTCCTGGGTATGCCATGACATACATTTCTTAAACAGACAAGTTTGTTTTTAACTAATTGCTAAAGAAGGGTTGTATGAAGGTAACGGTGCTTGCAACTATATATATATAAAGACCTTATGCAATGAAAACACTCGGCTATTGCTATCACGTGACTTCTCAAGTTAGTCTTACAAACTGAAAAGAGCAAATGTAAAAACCACTGTACTCAAAACAAGGCTTAAGTTATTATATTTATGTAAGAAGCACCATACCACTCATTATAAGGCTTAATGCATATTTTAGATGTTTGTGTTTCAATGTTCATCAAGATCAGTAAAGTTAAAAGCCTACTGCTTTGTAACAATCTTGTTCATCAAGATCAGTAAAGTTGAAAGCCTACTGCTATTGTAACAATCTTGTTCATCAAGATCAGTAAAGTTGAAAGCCTACTGCTATTGTAACAATCTTGTTCATCAAGGTCAGTAAAGTTGAAAGCCTACTGCTATTGTAACAATCTTGTTCATCAAGATCAGTAAAGTTGAAAGCCTACTGCTATTGTAACAATCTTGTTCATCAAGATCAGTAAAGTTGAAAGCCTACTGCTATTGTAACAATCTTGTTCATCAAGATCAGTAAAGTTGAAAGCCTACTGTTATTGTAACAATCTTGTTCATCAATATTAGTAAAGTTGAAAGCCCACTGTTATTGTAACAATCTTGTTCATCAATATCAAGTTGAAAGCCCACTGCTATTGTAACAATCTTGTTCATCAAGATCAGTAAAGTTGAAAGTCTACTGCTATTGTAACAATCTTGTTCATCAAGATCAGTAAAGTTGAAAGCCTACTGCTATTGTAACAATCTTGTTCATCAAGGTCAGTAAAGTTGAAAGCCTACTGTTATTGTAACAATCTTGTTCATCAATATTAGTAAAGTTGAAAGCCTACTGTTATTGTAACAATCTTCATCTCTTAAACAATTTACTTTCACAATACCTTTCAGTTCAATATTAAAATTGTGTCAGAGGTGACTGGATATATTAGGGAGTAATTAAGAACCAGGCTAATGCTGAAGTGGGGAGGAACAGTTACTAGGTGCCACATTGATGGTGAAGTCTTTGGGGGTATAATTTGCTTATAATTTCAAGTGTATTCTTACAAATGTGGTCGCTAGATGCAATGGTCAATTATCATTATCAACCTACAGTTCTAATTGTACGTTTATTTATCAATATTCCTTTGTTACAATCACAAAGAACTTTCATCAATGTAACTTCAGAAATTCAAAACATATTACTTCACATTTACATACAACTATATAATTCATAGCTTGTGTTGTTATCTTCTAAAAATGGTTTGTGTAATGCAATTTCTACTTTCAACTTAAACCATTTCCATCCAAATCCAACATACCTAGATTTTTATTAGGTGTTGATAAATCCCAGAGATTCTAAATCAAGATAAGACTGGGATCAGAATATCATCCAAGCTTTTCTGTCATTATTTTAGTCTATTTAATTAAAAGATACACTGCCGAAATTGGATAAATACTTTCTGCTTGTTTCTCTGCATTTAAAAGCAAGCAATTAAAAAAATTAACAAATAAAATAACTAAAAGGGGAAAGCACAGAAGTTCAGTCCCTACAAACTGATTTGCTTGATCAATGAGATTGGAATGACCATTTCTTGCAAGAATTCCCATTAATAGTATTTTTATTCAGCTTTGCTCTCCTTTCAGATTTTATGCATATTTTTACAGTAACTTCAAACAATCCAAAAGAAACTTTTAACAATTGGCTACAATATTTCTTTCAGCCTTGGATAGTTATATTAATCAAAACACAACTTTTCCCCCAAAAAGATAACTCTCTCTAATAACTAAGATGGAAAAAATATCTATCAATTATAAATTATACTAAAGTAGACTTGTAAGAAAATTACTTTTCCCCAATACTCTTGTGAGATTGTCAAAGAGAGAGAGAAAACAATTCTGCATGTCCAAAGAGCTGACCACTATGTTTGTGTGCTTATATCCAGAGGCTGGACACCTTAAGGAAAAGAAATGCTCCAACTGAATTAGGGTGACAAGCCACATGACATAAAACTGTAGTGTTTACAGCTTATGAAGATGGGGTTTCACAACAGAGCCATGCAGCTCAAAGTTATGAATGGCATATGTATGCCACATTATTTATACCAACATTTTACTGTTCTGACTTACTAAGTATATGTCTATAAACAATAATAATGATCAACTCGTATGTTATTGTTAATTAATTTGTTTTTTATATCATTAACTGGAAATTATAGGAGTAGGCCTTGTCTCCCATGGAAGCACATTCACAAAACAACTGCACTGAGTAAAATAAGACAGTTCAACAACTGTTCTGTATCACCATCTAACTCCTAGTCTGTTCAACAACTGTGCAAGTCTATGGTTGGTCCAGCAACTGTTCTGTATCATCCATTTAACTCCTAGTCTGTTCAACAACTGTGTAAGTTTACAGTTGGTCTAGCAACTGTTCTGTATCAACCATCTAACTCCTAGCCTGTTCAACAACTGTGCAAGTCTATGGTTGGTCCAGCAACTGTTCTGTATCATCCATTTAACTCCTAGTCTGTTCAACAACTGTTCTGTATCACCATCTAACTCCTAGTCTGTTCACCAACTGTGCAAGTTTATGGTTAGTCCAGCAACTGTTCTGTATCAGCCACCTAACTCCTAGTCTGTTCACCAACTCTAAGTTTATGGTTAGTCCAGTAACTGTTCTGTATCAGCCACCTAACTCCTAGTATGTGAAACAAATCTACAGGTGTAGTTACACTTTCTAGTGTATTGCTTCACTTACCTTAATACAACTTAAGTTGGGAAGTGGAGGTTTCAGGAACTTTCTCAAGCTTTCACAAACACTAGCCAATTGATCCTCCTCTGTCTGACTACTGGCACAAGACTGCCTTTCAAGTATACCTGTTCCTACAGGGGCAACTGGAATGTAGCCACCCATTTCCTCAGAGTGTTTTAACAAATACGGAAGTGCATATGTACCACTCATACTGGGACTGACCACCACAGGTCGTTTCAAGTCCAAGGCTTTGATGACATGGTTGAGGAATTCACCATGATCAGATATGTCTGCCAATGAAGATTTACCATAACCTGCAAGAAATGAACTATATGAATATAAGTACTGAAAGTAATCTATACCAAATGTCAAGCATATAAATACCAATATTAAACACGTATAAAACTGGAATAGTTGATAGAATACCAATATTATTTAAAATATAACAAATCATACACATTGATTCAAATGTTTTATAAAGCAAATCTGCAAACCAGAGTAATAATTAATCCCTCTTCACTGACTGTTGCCTTCTCGGAAGGTCAGGCACATCCAAACGGGTCATCAAAAAACAACTTAAAAATGTGAGAAACAGAGCATTACAAAACAAAGGAAAAATTACTCATAATACTTTAAAGTCCATAAAATTTATTTTAGATTAAAAATTAGCTTAAGTATTATCAAAACAAATCTTTATATGATTGAAATTCCAGGAGACGAATGAAATGATGATTAGGTATAATAATATAACATGCCTAAGAAGTAAATGCTGGTAAGATAAGCACAACTTAAAGGAAATATTTCTTTACTGTGTGCCACAACATTTATTCATAACTTATAGAAATGTATATGGTTTAGAAGTTGAATCTGTAGTAAAAGCTGAAACTAACAAAGTTAATTAAATTTTTGGAAATCAAAAATCATTATATAATTGGAATATGTGAAAGTTTTTAAATTGTAAGCAGAGTATACAAGATATTACTAGTTTACAGACTAATCAGAATGTGTAAAATAACATCTTTATTTGTTTACAGGCTGATCGGAATGTGTAAAGTTACATTATTTATCTACCAGCTTAGCACAGTGTAGGGTTGCATCTTTATTTCTGTACAGGCTAATTGGTGTGTAAAGTTACTTCTATTTGTTTACAGGCTGATTGGTGTGTAAAGTTACTTCTATTTGTTTACAGGCTGATTGGTGTGTAAAGTTACTTCTATTTGTTTACAGGCTGATTGGTGTGTAAAGTTACTTCTATTTGTTTACAGGCTGATCAGAGTGTAAAGATGCACCTTTATTTAGTTCCTCTTTAAACCACTTTTCTAGTGATTTTAATTTTTACAATACAAAATTTATTAGTAGTAAAAATGACAGTCCATCAAGGTATCTGACATTTGGGTAACTGTTCTGAAATTATGTGTACTTACGAGTGTGAAAGTGAATTCAAATCTGCAACTGTTTTCTTTAAAAACCATAAAAACTATTTAAAAATGTGTAAAACTTGTGCTTTTATCTTCATGTTTATGGTAGAGTACCTTTGATGTTGTACTGCTCATTAGCAAAGAACAAAATATAATATTTATCCTATCAATCTGAGAAGAAAGTACAGTGGAAATGAAACGCTACACAATTTGACCCCTAGTGTTCTAAAACTAACACACATACCAGGTACATCTATAGCAACAGTACGGTAGCCCATTGCAGCCAAAATTTGTATGGTGCCCAGGTGTAGCCACGTTTCTGAAGAAAATGCAGCTCCATGAAGAAGGAGTATAGAGATATGGGCACTGGACTCCCCTTCAGATTGAGCTTCGCGATAAAAAACTTGAACATTCTGGATGATTAAAATAAAAAATAGAGACCTAAAAAAGTGTAGATGTTTTATTTAACCCTAGAGTTACTGGTTGGATCCATACAATCTCATCAGTTTTTTAAATACATTTTTCTAAACTATTTATCTAACAAATTAACAGCAAATCTCTGACTTTATTGGTTACAAACACCTAAAATATTTAAACAAAAATACTATAAATATTGCATTTTTTATTTTTCAGAGTTTGTAGTGCATACTTAGAAAAACAACCTATAACCCCCAGATAATAATACATTTTATTTCAGCAAACATTTCACTATTGTAATAGCTCTCTCTTATGCAATTTAATAACTTTTATTACTTATACTTAAAAAAAACACTATACCAACTAATTACCTTTACTACCTGTACATAATGCAAACACTAAACCAGCTAATTACCTTTACTACCTGTACGTAATGCAAACACTAAACCAACTAATTACCTTTACTACCTGTACATAATGCAAACACTAAACCAACTAATTACCTTTACTACCTGTACATAATGCAAACACTAAACCAACTAATTACCTTTACTACCTGTATATAATGCAAACACTATACCAACTAATTACCTTTACTACCTGTACATAATGCAAACACTAAACCAACTAATTACCTTTACTACCTGTATATAATGCAAACACTAAACAATTTAACTACCTTTATTGCCTATACATACAACAAACACTAAACAATTTAACTACCTTTATTGCCTATACATACAACAAACACTAAACAATTTAACTACCTTTATTGCCTATACATAAAACCAACAGTAAACAACTTAATTACCTTTATTACCTATACATAAAACAAACAGTAAACAATTTACTGTACAGGCTTGAGAAAAATATGTAGCACTTTGAGTTGGAATAATTTACTGTGCAGTTTTGAAAAATTCACCAATTCTCTCTGTACCTCCTGTATGTGTGCTTGAAATGGCAGGAGGTAATTTTCAAGAATTCTAATTTATATACCATTCATTATGAATACTGGTATAGTTTTAAGGACAACTTGACCATTACGACAAAGAAAATATTCAGCGTAATGTATACTACAATGTAATGAACAATCATGAAGTTAACTTACATCAACAGACAAGACACTTTCTTTAACCTTTATGCTAGCACTTCTTTTTGTCACCGTTTCTGGTATTTCCTGAGACTTCAAGTCTACATGCTTCCAAAAGTTGGAGGTTGAGGGGTCCTTTGTCTCATCCTTGGATCCAGACCAACCTATGGGGTGAGGAATACTCTTAGGGTCAGCATCAGAAGGCCAATAGAGCAGAAAAGCAGCAGCAAGCCACAAGGGTATGGAGAGCAGGCCTGTCATCACTATCTGCCGGCCTGGTAGAAGGACAAGGAATATTGACAGTGGGGAAGACGAAAGTTGTTTAATTTTTCAAGTGAAAACATGACAAGGGTGATAACAATAATAAACACAGGTAAGTTGACATCATAATAATAATAATACACACACACAAAAAATATGACATGGATGTTAATAAACACAGGCAAGTTGGCATAGATAATAATAATACACACACACACACAAGAAATATGACATGGATGATAATGATAATAAACACAAGTAAGTTGGTGTAGATAATAATAATAATACACACACAAGTAAGTTGGTGTAGATAATAATAATACACACACAAGTAAGTTGGTGTAGATAATAATAATACACACACAAGTAAGTTGGTGTAGATAATAATAATACACACACAAGTAAGTTGGTGTAGATAATAATAATACACACACAAGTAAGTTGGTGTAGATAATAATAATACACACACAAGTAAGTTGGTGTAGATAATAATAATACACACACAAGTAAGTTGGTGTAGATAATAATAATACACACACAAGTAAGTTGGTGTAGATAATAATAC